AAAAGGGGGTCCAACCCGTTACTAGCATGGGGTACCTAATAAAGTGGCCAGTGAGGGTAGATATAATTTAAATAAGATAAAAATGTTCTCCCAAAAATCAGAGCTGAAAGAATATCCTCCTCTATAACTTTAATTTAGACAGAATGGATCCAGAAATAGGCTTTAGCAAAATATATTTTGTCTTTATTAATATGGATATGTTCAATCATTTTTATTGTTGGCACAACTTAGACTGACCCTGAGGTGCAAGTTGGTCCCTACCTGTAACCACTGGAGGGAGATGAAATTATTAACATTTGGATGTCCATTAAAAATGATATGTTTTTTAAAGAAAAACTTGATATATTAATTAGGTATCTTTAATTTTAATGTTTAAAGAAGTTTCCAAATTAAATTTTCGATGTTAGGACGTCTGAGTTTTCAAGATTCAGAGAATCCAGGGTTGAAAACTCAGTTTACGGGATACATTTTACGAATAATCCAGACAAAAAACGACACTAAAAACGACACTAAAATGTTTTTAACAACAATTTACTTTTTTATATGAATATTGTGAAGATTCTTTCCATGTAATCATATTTAAATTCTGCAGACACTTAGCAGGCAGATGAAGGTTTTACATATGAATAATCCAATCTTCTTGGAGGACTTGGGAGAAATGAAAAACATGTCACAGTCGTCCCCAGTCTCCCCTACAGAGGCTTAAAAAAGCTAATTAATTTCAAACTGTATTAGACACAGTAACCACCTATTTATACTAACTGACACCTCTGTGCTATAAAAGTCTTTCTGCCTTCAGTTACTGCACTAAACAAAGACCAACTGCAGCAGACGGATTCATTTCTACTATTATTACTCTACGGATTCCTGGATCATTGATTGCAATAAAAAAAACTGAGGAGCTTTGAAGGTTTTTTTTTAGGCAGAAGTTCAAATAGAGGGGAGAAAAAACCCATAAAAAAACTAATATTTGTCTTGAAATAAACATTTCAGATGATTAAATATTTAACATCCTTTCATGAAGCATTTGAAAACAACAACATTGAAAGCTTCTTACTTACATCTCCAGGATATGTCTGCAGATCGTACTCCATGCTTGGACTCAGGTCCTGCCTCATTACCCAGATTGGTTCCTTTGGAACATCCGGCGTATACGGCGATCTGATGGTTCTGGTCTTCACCTCCTCTATGGCCTCCCTGATGTCCTTGATGACCAGAGAGATGCTGTCCGTCTTCTCCTGAGTGATTTTTAAGGATAGAGTCTCCTCAGAAGGGCTGGCTGCCTGGTGTCGGGCTGAGTCCTCCTCTATAGCAGCTTTGGAACCGTTTGAGCTGGGGGGTCCAGGAGGTTCTTCCACCGGCAGCTTTTCTGCTTCACTTCCATGACTCACAGGGTTGAGGCTTTGGCTGCGCTGAGCGACAGATGATTCAGCGTCCCGTTCAAACTCATAGCAGGTGTTGGTTCCTGGGTAGTGGGCAAACTCTGCATCCTTTTCCGGGCTGTCTGACTCGCCGTCTGAGCGCTGGGTGTAGTGATGCAGCCGTGAGCCGACGGCCTCCTTCTGATGATGGCCGTGTCTCATCGGAACACCAGCTCCTCTCTGTTTGAGAGACTCCTTATTGTTTGAGCAGCCCGCAGGACCTAAAGGTGAACCTGAAACATCACCGATTTCTTCATAAACCTGGTCAGAGAGTGAATCCATCTCATACAGCTCAGCGTACACATTTTCTGTGTTTTCGCAGGCCGTGCCAAAGGCGTGGCCCTCAGAGTGGCCTTCTGGTTGGGAATAGACATCCCTGCAGCAGTCAGCATTCAGCAGCTGCCCTCGGCTGCTCGCCTGCTCTCTCAGCAGCCGGGTTTCCTCGTCTGCTGACATGAACTCTTGACCAGTGTTTCCATAGAAACTGTGAACGGCAGGATGGACCAGCGAGGAACGATCGTTCTGGGTTCCGAGTGTTTGGAGCTGATGAACAAAGTGGGATTTCTCTGCCTCTCTCTGTTTCTGACTCTCCTGCTCAGCTTGGAGTTGGGCTCGACTCTCCGCCTGCCTGCGGTAACGTCTCCCTGCTGCTCTGCTGACAGATGGACGAGCTCGGAGGTTCATGTCGTCCTCCTGTGGTCTCTGCCCCTCAGGAACACTCGCTCTCCCACTGTTACCTTCAGCAGATGAGGCTTCAAAGCACAGGATGGACATTTCTTGGTTCCCCGGATTAGAAGATCGGCCATTATGGCATTTTTTCTGTTGGTAAGATCCAGAATCCCTGTCTTCCATTTTTTTCCTCCTTAGGTTGGGATTTCTGGGAGTTTGTTTGGTTCCTGGTGGATTTTATGAGGTCAGAAAGGAGAAATCTGATGTCAAACTGCCTGAAGGCATCTGGGTTAAACTGAAAATAAAAGAAAAGAAGGAAAAATCTCAAGATAGTAGAAAAAGTTTTTGATTTGTGTCTCTTAGCTGCCTTATACTCTATCATCTGATCGGACGTCCAGGTTTTTGCTTCTTTAAGCGATGGACGTCCAACTCCACCTCCTGATTTTGACTT